GGAGGAGTAGGTGGAGGAGGAGGAGGCGGCGGAGGAGGAGGAGGCGGAGGAGGCGGCGGAGGAACAGAAGGTGGCGCGGTGCCTGCTACGCCACCAGCCATCAGCCATTACCACCACCACCACCATCACCATCACCATTATCACCACCTCGTCACCACGACCACCACGAACACCACCACCACCACCACTGGCGTCACCAGGCACCTCAGGCACAAGCTACCCCTTAGCAAGCAGTGCCACGAACACCGTCATCAGCACCGGCATCACCATCGGTCCCCCTATCGGACCTTAAACATGGGCCAAAAGATTTCAGGTTAGGATGATACAGACACACCTTCCTTTGGGCCCACTTTTGCTTACCAACTCGATCACCTTCGATCACGATATGAGGTTTATACACGGGGTCCCTCTATGCTTCTTCTTCTTCTTCTTCTTCTTCTTGTCGCGGTGTGCGATTTGGGCGGGCCTTCTATACGAACGCGTTGGCGGCCCGGTATCTTGGGGCTCGAGGGTAATTCTAGGAGGGTGGGGAAAAATGGATCGAGTATCGAGAGATTTTAAGGTTAGACGGTTTAGGTGAGGATCAGTCGGATTTGGTATAGGGTAGAGTTTGGGTTGACCTGTTAACTGGGCTCTGTTTTGAATTTTTATTCTTGTAATGTTTAGCATAGACGTAACAGTATAATTAAGAACGAGTAATTCCTCGGTAAATAAATTAGGATGTTGCAAGTATCGGTGCAGACGAGTTAACTCGTGTTTGTGCGTAAGTACAGGCGTGCATTTCAGTATGTAACACCGATGCAAACAGAGATATTGAGATCCCTGAGCAGATGGATGTTACTGTTACTTTCGAGGGGAAATGCAAGGAATATTCTGGTAGGTAACACGGTGCAATCAGGGGGAGACTGACTCTCTCTCTCTCTCTCTCTCTCTCTCTCGTAGGTTGATTCACCTCGTCGGTGTTCTGCCAGGGTCAAGGCCTCTGACCGCTCTCGATTTTACCTACCTGCTCAGGTAGAGGCACGAGTAGGTCCTTCAAACCGGCATTCTATCCTCTGGCAACGCACAGGCTATACACCAGTCTCCTACACAACCAGGAACGAATCGATCCACGGGAGTTTTATCACCGTGAAACTAATCTCTTTCTCCTTTAATTCGACGAGCTTCCTGTTATCAGCTTCTGATAATCCGCTTTACTCTCCGACGCGATAAGAAACGGTTAATTCGCTAATTATATCCATCGTACACAGTCGCGTAACACACTCTCGCCTAATTAGCTAATTGCACGAATAAAGTTTCGAACGTAAGTTCTAACCCGAGTCTAAGCATCTCTGAAGTCTCCTCAGGTAGAGATATACCGTAGGAGAACTTTCCCAGTGTTCTCTCTCTCTACTTCTTCCCCCCTACCACAACGAAAACCACCGCAATATAAACGGCGACAATTCACCGAGATCAAGGCAGCAGAGAGAAAAAGCTCCTGGAGAGAAGCACGTCCACAGCATTCGCCATTAATCAATTCCATCGATCCCGCAGCTCTTCCCATCGGCTGTCCCTCCGTCATGATTTACGCTGGCCATTTGCGCGCTTCCGGAGATTCATTCTGCGTCTCGGTGGCATGAATCGTGCAACGACCTTCTCTCTCTCTCTCTCTCTCTCTCTCTCTCTCGTTATCCCTCCGCTTGTCTTTTCGGGAAATTTGTCGCCCTCGACCGCAGCCAATTCGCAGCTCAGCTGCATCCGTGAAATTTACGAGTCAACCGGTACGATACATACACATGAACGAGACACGTGTGTGTGTGTGTGTGTTAGAAAAAACGCAATGGCAGCTAGAGGTCCAGGGTGTGTGTTGGACAACGCGTCACGGAAAAAAAGCCACGAACGTGCCGATGCTCGAGTGTGAGAGAGGGTCGACTTGGACCGGATACACGCAGACCCGTGAAAGCAGGCCCTTTCTATTAGTGCCCCTCGGGTTTTTGGTCGAAAGAAAGAGAGAGAGGTGGGGAGAAGAGAGAGACCCTTTGAAATCCTCGTAGTCCTTTCCAGAACCCTCGTTTCGGAACCCTCGAACGAGACCAAGCCTAGGGAACAGCTGCCAGAGCAAATAAACCAGCATCCAAGGATATCGGTCTCTGGAGGTTTCGGGGCTAACACCAAAGGGAGAGGGAAAAGGGAGAAGGAAGGGCGAACTTTCGAAAACCTCGAGCGAAGCCTGCTGCGCACAACGAGAGAACGCGCCGCGGACCCTTCATTATTTTTCTTCCACTCTTTTTTTCCTCCGTTCCTTGGCAAATCTACCACCCGATCCTCTCTCTCTCTCTCTCTCTCTCTCTCTCTCTCTCTCTCTCTCTCTTCATCCCTCCGCTTGTCTTTTCGGGAAATTTGTCGCCCTCGACCGCAGCCAATTCGCAGCTCAGCTGCATCCGTGAAATTTACGAGTCAACCGGTACGATACATACACATGAACGAGACACGTGTGTGTGTGTGTGTGTTAGAAAAAACGCAATGGCAGCTAGAGGTCCAGGGTGTGTGTTGGACAACGCGTCACGGAAAAAAAGCCACGAACGTGCCGATGCTCGAGTGTGAGAGAGGGTCGACTTGGACCGGATACACGCAGACCCGTGAAAGCAGGCCCTTTCTATTAGTGCCCCTCGGGTTTTTGGTCGAAAGAAAGAGAGAGAGGTGGGGAGAAGAGAGAGACCCTTTGAAATCCTCGTAGTCCTTTCCAGAACCCTCGTTTCGGAACCCTCGAACGAGACCAAGCCTAGGGAACAGCTGCCAGAGCAAATAAACCAGCATCCAAGGATATCGGTCTCTGGAGGTTTCGGGGCTAACACCAAAGGGAGAGGGAAAAGGGAGAAGGAAGGGCGAACTTTCGAAAACCTCGAGCGAAGCCTGCTGCGCACAACGAGAGAACGCGCCGCGGACCCTTCATTATTTTTCTTCCTCTCTTTTTTTCCTCGGTTCCTTGGCAAATCTACCACCCGATCCTCTCTCTCTCTCTCTCTCTCTCTCTCGCTTCAGGTATCCACGGGATGCTGCGAAGATCCCACGGATGCTATCCTTGAATTATAAACGACCCCTTTTCCACCCTTCGATGGAGGACAAACTTCTGTGTATCAAAACTTCTCTCTTTAGTCGTCGATATTTCGCGATTTCGATTATTCATCCTTGAATTTACTCGGTCGTTGAGTCGTCGACAACGTCTAGAAGTGTATATTTAAGTTTCTCTCTCTCTCTCTCTCTCTCTCTCTCTCGAGGAATAGAAGATAAAGAAAATTGCCGAAAAGTGAATCGGTGATTCACGAAAGATGTTTCTCTGGTTTGTACAGGCGGCGTGAAAATTTCCACACGCGAGGCTGCATCTGGAGCTGTCGGTGGAGTCGGCGTCGGCAGTGGCGGCGTCGTAGCGTACAAAGCCGTGGTACCAAGAGAGCTGGCGCAACACTTCGCGAGGCCGCCACGGCTCGATGTTCTTCTCGACATGCCACCTGCCTCGCGGGAGACGCAGATTTATCATGGATGGAACATCTACGACCGTAGCCTCAATATATTCGTCAAGGTATGACATGCTCTAAATAATCATTCCATAGATATCACCTCTGATCCTCCTTTTCTCTAATTTTTTCATTTGAAACATCGAACGACTTCTTCCCCGTTACAGAACGATGACATGTTAACGTTTCACCGGCATCCCGTTGCCCAGAGCACAGACTGTATAAGAGGGAAGATAGGCTACACGAAAGGTATGCACGTCTGGGAGTTGTTCTGGAGCACGAGGCAAAGAGGCACGCACGCCGTAGTGGGCGTCGCGACGGCAGACGCACCCCTTCACAGCGTCGGTTATCAGAGCCTGGTTGGTAATAACGATCAGAGCTGGGGCTGGGATCTCGGTAGGAACAAACTCCTCCACGACTCGAAGAACAATGCCGGTATCACGTATCCAGCTCTCCTCAAGCCCGATGAAACGTTCATCGTTCCTGACAAATTCCTCGGTAAATCATACCGATCATTTTTTTTTTTTTCTTTCACTACCGTAGAAAGAACTATTGTTCCTCTGTAGAATTTTCATTTAATAAAACGTTGCTTCTTCCCCTTTGTTCCTACAGTCGTCCTAGACATGGACGAGGGTACGTTAGCGTTCGTCGTGGATGATCAGTACCTTGGAGTCGCGTTCAAAGGCCTGAAAGGCAAGAAGCTGCATCCTATTGTCTCAGCTGTCTGGGGACATTGTGAGATCACGATGAAATACATCGGTGGACTTGATCGTGAGTATCTTGAACATTTGTCAGGATTGAATCAACGTACGACGAGATCTGGGACTGGGATCTGGTGTGTTAATTAACGTGTATGTATTGTATTTTGTTACAGCTGAACCTCTGCCCTTGATGGATCTCTGTCGAAGAGTAATCCGGAAACGAATCGGTAAAGAGACGATCGAAGAAAAGGTGAACGAGCTGAGCCTGCCGTTAGCGGTGAAGAGTTATCTCCTGTATCGTGACAGGAGGTAACCACCGAGTGCTAGCTCTGTAACCACTACCACCACCACGATTACGACTGTGAACACCACTGCGTTATTAAACCGTTGCCACCACGACGCACAGGGGAACGCCCGCTACCCCGTTGCATGCCACAGAGCACACCAGCCCATAAGCCGTTTGTGCGATCTATGGTGTTTGTATCCGTGTCAGGATAAGTGGAGACGAGCACGATCGTCTTCGTCGTGGTCGCGCGCCTTGTCGTCGTCGTCGTCGTCGTCGTCTTCGTCCTCGTCTTCGTCTACGTCTACGTCGTCTACGTCATCCTCTCATCATCATCGTTGGCATGCTCATCGTCGTCATTGTCATGTTCATCATCGCCGTTGTCATTGTCGTTGTTAACCTTAAACGATCGTTATCATCGTTGTGTCGTTTCCGGATACACGATCGGACGACGAGAAACATACGGCGAAGGAACAATTGGAATACGCGCGGGCAGAACGCGCATAACTACTACACGCGAGCCTGTATCGGGGACTAGCGAATTATTTAGGTGATATTTGTTGTCTTGTGTTACGTCGATTACGATTAAAATCGTGACGGAGTCTTTATTGATTGTTAAATAATAAAAAAAAAAGAAAGAAAAAGAAACGAAGAAGAAGAAGAAAGTAAACGGGCGCAGGATGCGGTGCTCTTTTAGTTTGATAGCTTTTCGCGCGCACCTATTGCTCTGGGCGGCGCTTCTGTCTCTTTTATTTTATTTTTTCTTTTTTTTTTTTTTTGGTAATTTTCTTCTTAAGTTGTCGCGTTGTTAGAAAACGTTCTGCGTGTGACGAAGAGGATGCTAGGTGTGAGAGAGAAGAACAATCGAGAGGACCAGATTGTACATGGACGGAGAAGAACGCTACATACATGAACACGTACACAAACAGAGAGTGAGAGCGAGAGATATGTGGCTTGGGTGAAAATAGAGGAGAGAAATGATATATCACCAAGGTGAAAGAAGATAAACAACAGCGCTTCACACAGTTGGCCAGTAAAACGTTAGACTTAGTCGAGTCTGAAGGCTGATACGGATAACGTTTCGATGAATTAGTCAACAATGGGTAGCGGGCTCGTTCTAGTCCGGCCACACTTGCGCGAATAGAAGACAAAAGGAGACAATGGAGCAGATGTTGCAAGCACGTGTTTCACGATGTATATTCGTGAATGAAGAGGAAATCGAGGAAAGTTCGAGGGAGAAGAGTCGAAGGACTCGCGCGACAAAACGCAAGCACAATTGTGTTGTCGAACGTGTCGATACGAGAAAAGAAGATGCAAATGTGTTGTACAGTGAGGGAAAGAATGCCAGCCGATCGAACAGCCACCTTCCAATAGACTCATTTTTCAAGTATTTTCTAAGCATGCTAGGTCTAATGAAGTAAATAGTGGTGTGCATGAAATCGTGGATGGACACGAGAGGAACGAAAGAGAAACTTCAA